TTTAATAGACGGGGAAGCAGAACTGGAGTTGCTTGGCTCGGCCAAGGTCCCAACCTCCCCACCTCCAGCCATGGCCGTTTTGCAGACCACTCCTCAAATTGACCCCCTGGAGCAGGGACAGGCCCCCGTCACAGTAAAGAGGGACGAGGCTGGGGCGGGGGCCAGGCCCACCCCATCACATAGTGCCCTCCCAGTGCCCTCACGTCGGCGGCCAAATTACAGGGAATATAACCCCGTTCGCTCCTTCTGAACTTCAGCTGCTCCACCAGCGCTCACAAGAACAGCAGCAGGAGTAAGGCATTGAAATAATGTTTGGGGTTTTTTTTTTTAAATAAATGGAACAGGTGTAACTTGGATTCCACATCCAAATCCCAAATGAGTTGTGGATTTAACTTGAAAGCAGGCAAAAAGCTTAATTACGTTGCTGAATTGAGACCAGTGAGCAGATAAACTGGCTCCATGGAGTCAATGGGACTTTCACTGCTGACTTCACTGGGGTCAGGGTTTGACTCCAATTGAAAAGAGAAGCTGTTTCTGTAAACCAGATGATCCCTTACAGGATCTGATCTAATACTGAAGGAATTCTGAATAGGTAAGCAGGAACTCAGCTCCTGGTGAACTTGTAGCTTCAAATAATATTAAAGAAAGGGGTGGCAAAGGAAAGTGAAAATACACCACCACTCCATTACACAAATGGTCTTTAAGAAAATTAATATAAGATGGAGAGCATAACATGCTCCCAGAAAAGAGAAGCACCAATAAGTCTCATCCTCAAGTGGCTGCCTTGTAAGCAAAGGGGACTTCTGTTCAGAGATATTCAGGTTCATAAAAATTAAAGACGATTCCACTGCCTACCAGGTCTTTTTTTTTTTTTTTTTTTTTTTCAGTTACAGAAGTTAATAATGTGCAGAATTGCACTAATTGGAACAAATACATTAGCACAAAGAATCAAAAACATGATCTATGCAAAGGCAAATTTCATGTGGTCCCTGATTTGCTATGGCACAAGGAAAGCTTTAACATGATGTGTTAAGTTCCTGAAAAACACAAGCGCACTTTTTTCTGGATGCTGGCTTTCTTGCAGATTTTGAGATAGACGCTGAAGTAAACACCATCCTGTATATAGCAGTGATCTCATCTTTCAGTATTGACAATTAGGCTTAAAACATCAACTCCTGATATAGTGAGGAGCTGGTGAAAAAAGTGACAGCAACCTGTAATTGCTGGGAAAAAGCAACTGTGTACTCTGCAACCCACTCATTGCAACAGCCACCACGAATGAGTTGCCATAAAAATGGTGCAGGTACCACAGGACCGCCTATTGCTTTCAGCAAATTGGAAATAAGCCATGCAGCAATGTTTTGGTTGTTTTGTTGGTTCTCATCTGAAAACATCTTAAGTTGTCCAGCTACGACACAGCAGCCAAGCCAGGAGCCACTGCTATCAGGGTAGCAGTGAAAGATGAGGGAAACACAGAAATTGCTCTGGTAGGAAAGGTCTGATCCCACGAAGTGAGAGCAACCCCAGCTCTGTTGGTATGACGATAGGGCAGGCAGCTCCAGGATGGCCCAGGAGTTTTTATTGCCTCTCCAGCTTCTGCATGGTGAAGGGCAACATAAACAGGAGCACTAGCTCTTCCTCTAAGCACAGACAAATTGCTCACAGATCAGAATAACTGGCTGCACATAGTTGTTCTGGATTTTCAAACCATTAGGCTGTATGCAGTGATCTGAGCAGCATTAGTGGATATGCAGCAAGCAGAACTACATCCACGTTTTGAAGAGGGAAAGACCTGCAGTGGTTTAAGTCTTTCACTGATCCAGCTATTTATTATGACGCCTCTTTGGAAAACTGTGGCCTATAGAGTTGTATCCTGTCCACCACTCCCAAGATATGTATTTCACACACCTAGCCCTACTGAAAAAAAGCTTTCCCCTCTTAAGGATAAGAAAACAACATCATGAAAAATAAAAGTTGAAAGACAAGAAATTGTTTTCCTAAGATTTTTTTTCAGGCTAAAGTAATACTATTATTAAAAATTCCTGCTTTAAACAAGTAAGTGCTTGTAACTCTCAAATGAAAACTAAATACAGGAAATATTTTCTCCAAATATTTCTGTTTGGCTAAAGCCAATTAAAGAAAACATTCAACCATTCTGACTTAGCTTATATCGCTCTGCCCCAAGGCACAGCTGCAGACAGTAGCAGAATTGCTCCAAATACCCATCAATCCCCAGAAAGCAAGGTCCAGCCATATAATTAGATATCGAGCAAAAGGCTTATTCCTTGTTCCTTTCTATTTACAACACCTTTTACATAAATCCTTGGGTCCTTGTTTAACTTTTATCAAAAAGAAAATGCTTGACATTTTGCCCAGGTAACTACGGAGCAACACCGAATTAGGACTTCAGGCTGTGACACACATACACAATTGCCACATCCATAAATATTAATAAAAGCCTATTACTTAAAACAGAGCTAGAAAAGCACCTTGCAGCATAATCCCCAAACCACAGATCACTGAGTTCTCTCCATCAGATTGAGGACTTTTGTCTAAATAAAGCTGAACAACAACCTCTGACTTGCTGAGTTTTATGGAAGGATTGGCAAAGGCTAGAAAAAGCCCTTTTCAAGATCTAACATAAGAAAATTGCTAAAGGCTGTTCTAAATAAAGAACGTGAGCCCTTCTTAAAGCCGTCTTTACTAAACTGCCACAACCCCAGGGGGGAAAAAACCAAACAAACTAAACAAAGCTCACACATTACTTTTGCTCTGCCATAGTCGTGAATGTTCACAGAAGTCCCCCACACCACTCATGTCATTTTGCACCTGGAGGATGTAAGAAAACTTATTTCTTGGTAACTTGGAGCCAAGAATTCAGCTCTCTCCAGATCCTTTGGCTGGAAACTGCCCACTTCTCCCACACACTGCCAGGATTTGCCTTCCCCTTTCATGCCAGCTGCCTGCCAGCCTGGGGTAAGAAAAAAAAAAAAAATATTCCAGAACAGGACATGAGTGATCTAAGAAAAGTATGAGATCCAGGCACTCTGACACAGACTTACTCCAGAGAAATCATTTAATCCTTCTGCCTCAGTTTTCCTGCCTGAAAAAAAAAGCAGCAAGTATCAATTACCTACTTTGTAGGTCATATATTTGCAAAGCCTCCGGGGAGATGAAAAGCATTATACAAACTATATGCACACATGTTAACACTGATTAATTTTCTCTGTGCAAACATATCCTTTTTTCTTCTTCATTGCCCCTCCTCTCATTATATCAGCAGTCTCATCTGGAGGAGGATGAGGAACTGCTGACGGCTGAAGTATTTTCCGCAGTTGTTCTTTTGAGATTCAGAAATGCAAGCACTCAACACAGCCCTGTGTTCAGCTGACTGTTTCCTTAATAGCTTTGCGCTTTCATGTGTTTCCTCATTTTCTGTTACATGAATTTAAAGCAATCTGATTTCCAAGTTAATTTGAAATGATGCAAGATCCATTAGTTGAGGGTATCGTTTGCAAAATAACTCCAAGGGACAACTTTCACTCACTATACTTTCAGATATACACTCAAAGAAAAGCAGGGCTAGTGAAGTGAATAAAGTCAGCAGGATTTGACCCCCAAAAGCATGTCAGTATATAGCAGAGCACAGAGATATAGCCTAACTGCATAAGAAACTTGTAATAAACGGAAAAGCTCCTACACAGCCTGAGTTTTATACCAGTGAGCAGAGCTTTTGTGATAGTGCCTATACAAATGATGATCAGAATATGCATACAGCTTTGCAAAAGACCACCTATAAGCATTTTTCTTAGGATTTTTTGATCCGCATCTTCTGAGGAATACAACTTAAACATTTTGTGAAATAAACCTATTGTTTCAGTTATCACAAAGTAATCCAGAGTGGAATCGAGGACTTGTGCTTTGTCAACAGCTCCACAATGGCAATTCCCATTGGAGACAACAGATGCTGATGCTCTGCACCCGAGGGCAGAATTGGGCTTTCTGACTTGCAGCATCCAAGAACAACCAGTTATGCTCATGGCTGGAACAAACTGCACTGGCACAGCTTGCCCAGAGAGTTTGTGGAGTCTCCCTCCTTGGAAATACTCAAAAGCTGTCTGTACATGGTCCCAGGCAACTGGCTATAGGCGGTCCTGCTTGAGCAGGGGATTTGGGTTAGATGACTTCCAGAGGTCCTTTCCAACTTCAACCACCATATGATTCTGTGAAATGGTCAATAGCCTGGTGCATCTTGGATGAATGTCCTCTGACTGTCACTGCAGCCTCTGGTCTGGATACTGTGGAGATGTCAGAAGCAACACCTCAAAGTTGTTCTTGAGTAAACGCAATCGGAAACACCCAGACTACTGAAGTGACAACTGTTAGAAGCTGGGAGATGAGGGAAATCTCAGGGGAGAGGCTGAGGGATGGAGAAGTGGCTGGATTTTCCTCATCCTCTACAACAACTGCAAATCCTCCACTCTTAGATGCATATGCAGGTCATGTGCATATTCCACAACTGAAGCCAGCAGCCTTTTAGGGCAGCAAGAGTCACCTTTTTTACTGACCACCTAATGTAGTAGGAAAGCTGAGCAATACCACAATAAAAATATGACAGGTTGACTTTTCAGCTGCTGCCCTTAAGGTAAAGACAACGGACAATTTAAGTTGATAATGCTACAAAGAAAGAGACTCTTGGAGGACAGTCCTTAAGAAACAACACCTCATCTCTGTATTGAGCTGTTTCAAGCACACCAAAAAAAAAAAAAATTATGTTTAAAAAAAAAAAAAGGATTTTGTGTAGGTTTGCTCCTGCCAAGCAATCTGCTCTCAACTGACTACAAAATCTCCCATGATATCATGACAAAACTCAAAGGCAGAGTACACACTGACTAGCAATATAAAGTTTGAAGTATTGTAAAAGGCAAGAAGCAATCATGCCTGCTTTTAGAAAATGGGATGGTGGTCTCTTTAGAAAGGAATTCAATTGCAATAGTTACCTCGGCATGTAAAGGACTCGTTCTGCCACCACAAATCCCACCCTGAAGAAGAGGTTGCTGGCTGGGATGAATGGGAAAACCAGGAACAACAAGCCAACCAAAACTTCTTTGTGTTCCAGTTTCTGCAATAACACAAAATTAAACAAATATCAACTAAAAAATCCAACTTAATTCACCACTAACTTTCCCCTTTCCTTTTTAGATTCTTATTCATTAAAAAAGTAACTTAGATTAATGTTTGATATATTTTGCATTTAAAAGAAATTATTCCAAGACACTGTTCTTCCATATTTATGCACTGTTTGTGCTTCTGATATGTCCAGAAGGTGCACAAACACTCACCACAGTGTGTATCATTACCCTCAGTATCTTTTCCAAGGTCAGCTCTATTGTATGCGGCTCTCTTGAGATGGCATAGGTAGTACTTAAGATATACCCCATACTGGTAATATGTAAGTATAGAATAGTGTGAATGCATACATTAGCATGTCTACCACAGTGTGGCTGTATGTAAATACACAAACACGTATCACATACACACAGGCTGCTGTGATCAAGCCTAAATGTTTATAACTGAGAAAAAGCTGTTCAATCCGTCACACTGGGTGTAAAGAAAGCTAGCCCCAAATGGCACATTAGTGCAGTCATTTTATCCCTTTTGAGACAATATCTAAACCTGAAAGATACTTTTGCACACAAGGTCTCCATACTCATACAGAGTTGGAAATTTGAGACTTACTATATGTAAAAATTAATGTCTTTCACTTGAGCTCAGTTAATGCCCTTCACTTGAGCTCACCACCTTAATGTTGGCTCGCTCGTTGAGGAGAAATTGAATTGCCACATGCAATTTAGAACAACTGTGATCTGCACGGCCGACAGAAGTGTCTCAGGAGGCTGTGATCAGCATCAGCCACCGTTCCTGCCACAGAGACACCCAAGCCCTCCTCAGGCAAGCTGAGTTTCAGATTTAGCTCCACCCCAAGAGGGTGAACCAGCTCGTGCTTTCCGTTGGTGATCTCAGAGAGTGACTTCAGGCTAACAGAAGTGCAGCATTAGGTCTGTTAAATCACTTGGGCAGATGTCTGTGCTTTCCTGCCCTGCGATACTGCTGCCTCCTCAGCTGCTGCAGCGCCCTTCTGCAGCCACGGGGAGAAGCTTTCTCATACTTAGAAACGCATGCAACCAGAATCACTTCGTGGTTGCAGCCCTTTCTAATTGCTGCGGGCCATTTCTCAACTTTGGAAAGCAGATTGACTTCTCTTTACTGGAAAGATCTAAATTTAGAAACACTGAACAAGGTTTTTGAATAGAAGAACAGAGCCCGAACAACGATGCGGGGCCAAGGAACACAACATGTCTTGCTTTTGCACAGCTACGGTCTGCGACACCAGCTACCCCTGGCCTAGTCAGTAGCTGAAATTCAGAAGTCCCAGTATTAAAGTATATTCATCCTATTCTCTGGGAAAGACAATGAACATTTTCTATGGGTACCAAACACAAGGGTACATCAGGAGGCTCTGACGTTGCCTTAGAGGAGGTGAACCAGAAGATCACAAAAACAGTGCATTGGCACTGATTAAAAGAGAAAACATGAGGCAGAGAGGGGAGCAGAATTCCTGTTGCCAGAATTCTTCATCAATATCTGCTTTAAACAGCACCACAGTTACCTGCTTCTATTATCCACTTTTTCAGTGTCTTGGAATCACAGTTACTAGTGCTTCCTTGTAGTCACAACAGCACCTAAAATACATTATTCCTAAAGCTGAAGCTGACACCAATCCATAAAGCTGATGAGCAGAGGTGCTCAGTAATGGTCATTCTGGCTTGTAATTACAATAGAAAATTGAATAGAAAAAAAAAAAAAAAAAAAGGATTAAGAATGATTTCTCAACTCTGAATGCAAATTATCAGTCCTAGCTCAACTCCAATTTCCATCCCACCCAGCTCTAGACATATCATCCTTTTCTCTCCTGCCGTTTGACATTCCCTTCCTACCTTGTCTGGCCTAATTATGGTGCCCATTTGCTGCCACCGCTCTGCCCTGGGGGTTTAAAAACAAAGACCCGAAGGCACAAGAAGGTATGTTGGGTCAAAGGGAGTGCACATGCATAAAATGTTCTCTGTCCCCAAGATGTGCTCTTGCTTTCAAAAGCACCAGCTATCAAATATTCTCCAGTTGTTGTTTGTTAAATCCATAATTGGGAAAGCAACCTCTAGTTAACATCTCTAGGAAGGACACGGTGTTATTTGAGGCTGCAGCATTGCAGATAAACAAAGGAAACAATGTTGGAGAAAAACAAATAAAACCTGTACACCAAATGGGAAAGAGGAAAATGTGGGAATTGACTCAGCTGAAGGAGAAAATAGTATTGTGTGCCCTTTCTCCCTCTGGAACCAGTCAGAGCTCTAGACTAATACCATTGAGAACTGCCAGCTCAGTCCCTTGGGCAGCGCTCAGAGACTGGAGCCCAGCATTCACAAACCAGTCTTATGGAGCAGCAGATCCCTCCGTGGTGCTACTTATTTCTGAAACAAGAACCATCTTGCAGCTGGAAGCATCCTTTTTAAAGCATTTGGTTCAGGCAGGGGCTTTTGTGAAGATCTGGCCCTTGAAGGCCAGGCTTTGGCTGATTTTGTGCTACGTGTGGTCCTGCCAGCCAGCCGGCAGGTCAAGCCGCCGAGCCTGTGCTGCCATCACTTCAGAGCTCAGTTGGGGTTTCTCTCCTCTACCCAGCCACTAACTTTTCCAAAATTTGTACGGGCACTTTGTGTATTTGGCACCATGGCCTTGCGGCTGCCAAGAAAGGAAAAGCTGGGCAGAGCCCCTGGGCTAGAAGAGCACATGGGGTTGCTGGTCACCTGAAACTCATCGGTGGCCGTTAATGAGACAGTTTGGAAGCAGCCTCTGGCACAAATGATTCCTAAATTACTGGTTGCCCATAGTTCAGAATTTATACTGGAAGAAAAAGTCACCCTATTCACAGCTAGATCTTATTTCTCACCTCCCTGAATAGTTTCTACTGACCGATTAGATACTGAGCAAAAACAGTCCTTGCCCTGACCAAGAAAAACTCATGTTTTTCTATCCCAGCCTTGCGAGGGCTGGAGGCACAGCAGAGCAATCTGTCCCTGCCTTCCCAGCAAGGGATAACATCTGCTCACCTAGTCAGCTCAGAGAAAACAAAAAAAGAACAGAAACATAGCACAATGTGTTGAAAGGATTGTGTGTACCACAGGTGACAACCGCAGACAGCTAAAAGCTAACAGCACAAGCCTCATAAGACATCATATTCTCCTTTATCTTTTTCCCTATCAAAGTTTACTTATCAGATTCACCTTTTATTCCCCCTTCCCCTGGAGGGGCTGATAGATTCATAAATGAGTAGACAAGCAGGACAGAATGGCACAAGAACATCAGGGACTGGTATTGTAGGGCTGCAGGATCTTGCATCCAACAAAAGCCATAGGAGATGCCCTCTACTTGCTTTTTAAGTAATAATAATAATAATAATAATAATAAAATCGATTTGTAGATTGTTATATTTTTCAGGGAAAAAAAAAATATTGGAACCATTTATTTGGTTTAACTACTCTGGTCATATGAGCCCACTTAAGAGGTAACTGAGCTAAGGTGGCAGAAACAGCATCTTTCAGGTGCTCAGAGCACTACTAAAAGCTTTTAAAGAGTAATAGGCAATTTTGTTTGTCTTCCTTCTTCCCTAAAATAAAAAAGCTAGGACTAGAAATTATAGATCATTTCACTCCTTCCATAGAGAGACATCTCCTTTCCTCTTAAAGACAGTGCTTTCTTTTGGAAATATAAAACTTACCTTTCTACCTGTCACAGAGGTCTTCAGGGCGGGGGAACAAAAACAAAAATGAAACACCTTTGAATTAACCTTAGAATGATTCCTTTTGTTAAAGACAAACTGACTTCAAATCAAAATAGCATTCCTTATGGCATGTGGGGGGGAGGGGGGGGCAGGGAGGAGATGTGTGTTTTCAAATTCACAACTACCTCTAATTACAATTAGGCCTTCACTATTTGTAACAACAACAAAAAAAAACAAAAACAAAAACAAAAACAAAAACAAAACACCACCAAAAAAAAAACAAACCAAAAACCAACAAAAAATATTTTTTTTTTTACCTGCTACTTTTCATAGACTTATCAAATAACTAAAGAACACCACTTCTCTCAAAGGCAAAGCAAAAAATTGTCACAATACATCAAACAAAATAGCAAAGAATCACTCCAAGGTTAAAAACCATCAACACATCAATAAATCTCAAAAATGCTTCCTTGGCAATTTGCGGGAAAAGAGAGAAAGTCTTGAGCTTACAATTAAAAGAGATCCTCACATATTACATCTAAGAGATATTCCTGAGCCACAAATAAATACATACTGACTACAGTTAAATCACAAGCCTTCTACAAGCCGGAGCCCACAAAGTATGAGCACTGGAGGTACGCAGATTATTTTGACTTATTTGTCATGAACTATGGACTTGCAGAAGCCCACTGTAAATTCCCTATTTTTCTCATTGTGAAAGCATCGTCTGAGCACATCCCCCAGCACCTCCAAGGGCTGAGGTGCTGGAAAGTGGAGCTTTGAGGACAACTGTCCTCCTGGCTGGTCAAGGTTGTACCTCAAGGAAGACAGCAGCTGGGCAAACAAGTTCAAGCAAATCCCATTCTGTTCTACCTTGGAATGTTTCCGAAGGTGTTTATACATGCTTGCCTGTTGGATGGGAAGGTAGCAATGAAATGGGTTTAATTTCTTCCTCTAACATTTTATTTTGAGAATGAGGCAAGTGTCACCCATCCACCATTTAGAACCAACAGCTCCATGGAGTAAAGACTTCCTTCCTACCAAAAGCATAAATCACCCTCTGTCAGATTGTTCTGGACAGTTCATTGCAGCCCGTGAGATGTTATGCTTGGAACATCTGACCGCAAGCGCAGAAAAGCTAGTCGGTAGTGCATGGCTGTATAAAATAGCTGATTGCTATTACACATTTTCAAATGCTTTCAGGCCTAGGAGGTAAGTGCATTATCCATCAAAAGGGACACAGAGATTCAAAGAAGGTGCATGACTGTCTGTAGACCAGAGGATTA